TACTATCATATTATGCAATATGATACATGTATACATCACCTCTGTCATATTAGAAATATCACGAAACATGGATGGTTTTGCAACTATCTGCCAACGCTTTTTTAGTGCTCCAAACGCTCGTTCAATATCTTTTCTTGCTTTTTCTTGGACTCTCTTAAATTTGGCCCTCTGAGGGTCATCCGGACATGACAAACTTTTAACGAAAACAGAAAGGTCAGGATAGATCCCATCCACAAGATAGTACCCAAATTTGTATTCTGTTCCTCGGAGTACAAATGACGAATCTGGGGCAGTACCGTCATACACCTTGTTGAATATTGGTGAATTATTGAGAATATTAATGTCATTAAGCGAACCGGCACTGCCGAAAAAGGCATGCCAGATCCACAAATCCTATGACGCTACAGCTTCAAGTACGACCGTGGGATAATGATAATTGCCCTTTGTGTATTGTCCTTGATATGCGTTAGGACACGCATTCCATCTCCAGTGCATACAATCTAAACTTCCTAACATCCCAGGCAAACCATGCACATTTCCATGATGAGCATACAATTGTTGTATGTCATAAGCAGTAGGCCGACGCAAATATCGTGGACCATACAAAGACATGACAGCTATGCAAAATTCATGAAGACTTTCTCGGGCAGTACGTGCAGACATTCTAAAACTCTCGTCTAGTGCATCAGGGGGGGTGGCATAGGCTAACATACGAAATACAGCAGTACATTTTTGAACTGGATCAAAGCCTAATGTACCTTTTGCGTCTGAGCGTTGCTGTATATAATCAGACACTGAAGTCACACCTTCTACAATACGCATAAACAAATCTTTATGCATCCGAAATCGTCTGCGGAAATAATATCCTTCAAAGAGAGCATTCTCGTCAAAATAATCTTGCATGAGACGTTGGTGGGCCGCTTCACGTTGTCTTTGAATATATCTTCTTCGTTTACGTTGATTGTTGCTTGATTCAATGTTGTTAAGACGTTGTTGTAGCATATTACGTACGGAGACGACCGACTGCACTACACTATCAAGAACATCGTCCGATGAAGATGACGAAGACGACATTGAAGTAATATTTTTTCTTTGATACAGCTTGATTCAATGTTTGAATAGTTTTGCTTAGCTACTACTAGGAGTTAATGTGTTACATATATATATCATATATCGACTGATGCAAGAGTGAAGTGACTTGATTCCTTATTTGATTCCCTGCAAAAAAAAATATTCTATGCCAAAAGATATGAAGACAAAATTGCATAGATGCCAAGGGTGGCATCACGTGATTACCTAGATTCCATGCATTTTACTTTATATAGATTCCATGCACTTTACTTTATATAGTTATATATATATATATATATATATATATATATATATATATATATATATATATATATATATATATATATATATATATATAAACACGATTCCATATAATATGATCATATATTTACATTTAACTTTATATATATATATATATATATATATATATATATATATAATAGTAGACGAAACACACGACTTAAAAAAACTACAACTAATCCCAGTTGTACTCTTTAGCGAGATCCCGCTTGGCCTTGATAATAACCTGACGTTCCTCCTCGGACAATTGATCTCCTATGGGTTTAAAGTAAAGTTCTAACGCACGGTTCTTTTCCTTTCTAGCACGGTTCATTTCTTTTAACTTTCCCACTTCCAAAAAACCCTCAAGCTTATCGTCTAACCCTTTGATTGAGTTTATTATCTCCTCCGCTTCAGTCGACGAACTTTGTGCTCCTTTCAACTTTCTTTTTGCTTTGTCTCGTCCCATAGGACGAGTTGGAACTTCATAAGGACAATCATTGTTGAGGTCAATCCCTCCGATACGCGCATCAGAAGATTGACTGTGGCTGGACTCCGAAGTTTTGCTTCGTTTGGACATCCCCGCATAATCGTCTGGACTTTTTAGATCTAGCCATTTTTTATTGCCCTTTACAACTCCCCAAAACGATTCATTGACAAACGGTTTTCCGACTTTCGCCTTGTAAATCTTTCGAACCTTAGCCATGACATCCACCTCAGTTGCACCGCTTTGGGGATTTTTCATCGCGTTCATGTATATGCCGTTGAACTCCATTGCGGCTCGGTTGGCGTTCCTCCACTTCGAGTAAAGTGAATCGGGGTTGCGGTACTTCTTATTCATGCGGTTGCAAAAGTTAATCCAAACTTTTTGTTTGAAGGTTTTTGAGTCTTGGTCTTTCCCGTGGATCGGGTCCTCCGACACATCTAGCCATGATTGAGCTAGTGCCCTTTCTTCATCATCCGTCCACCCTTTACTTGGAGCCCTTCCTTTCCTTTTTTTTGTGCGTATGGTTCCTCTTCGGGCTCTTGAAAGGATTCTTGAACTGGATCTTCAACGGGGCCTTCATCAGAAGAATCGGATGACTCGTTGAGTAGGCGACGTGGTTGAGATTGAAAGTTAGTTTGCGGTTGGGGTTGAGAAAAGAATTGAGTTTCTTGAACCGTTTCAAACGGATCAAGATCCATATCCGGCCGAGGTGTTGGTTGAGATTGGTTATGGTAAAATCCCATTGGTTGAGAAGAGAAAGGATTAAATGGAAACATTTGCGGAGCCATTGTAGGAAAGTAGAAGTTAGCGGGAGAGTGAATTGGTTGATCAAATGATGGTCGATAACATGGTGGTGATGGAAGGTTTGGGGATGGAAGGTTTGTTGATTGAGTGTTTGGAGGTGGAAGATGTAGTGATGGAAGGTTTGAAGATTTTTTTTTGTTGGTTCTTGGGGTTTTTTTTTGTTTGAGATGAAGACATTTTTTCTTGAATTGAGAGAGTTTGTAAAAATGATATGGTATTTTGTGTGTGTAAATTGGTGAGAGTGTGGTTTAATTTATATTGGTTGAATTGGTAGTTGATATATATATATATATATATATATATATATATATATTGTTGAGGTTGTTGTATCATAAATTGAGATATTTACTTTTCATAAATTGAGTCATAAATTGAGATATTTACTTTTCAGCCATAAATTACTTTGAGACCACGCTACATGTTGTAATCCCAAGAATTGAGTTTCAACCAATCAGACTCCTTTAAATGTTTCTCTTACTTCTCGCTATGAAGTTGGCGTCTATCTCTTGGCGACCCCCTTAGCGAGAGCTAAGGGGTGGTATTCTAAACCCATGGCGAGCTAAGCGAGTGGCTTTGGCGAGTGCCACTCCGCTTAGCCTTATAGGAATCGGAAATAAAAACATTAGATTACATGCGTGTACTATTATGGAAACCGCATGGACCGATTGGCTTCCGTGCATAGCCAATCACCTTTCTCAGGGGTATTGCTAATCGCACCCGATTATAGGTCAAAACCACTCCAAACGATCAAAACCACTCTTAATAAACCACTATTAATAGGGTCAAAACCATTGAAACGTAACAATAAAATTCTATGATATGACCGAACCCATTACGAATAAAATTACATCTTTAGTCCTTTACTTTATATTTTGTTTTTTATTTCAATCATTTTTAATTTTGAATGATTTTACTTACAACCCTTTATTTTTTATTCTTTATAATTACTAATCTATACTAATATAATTTATTTAGTTTACTGATTTTAGCTTTTTAATGTATTTATATGTTTGTTCGTAAGTTTATTTAACCTTCTTTTTGTAATTATTTTTTTCAAACATGATATTACCAAGCATACGTCAGTTATTTTATCATTAATAAAAATATAATTGCATTTAATAAAAATATATATTCTACATTCTTAACCTTTTAGAATGAAGTATATATTTATTATTTTACTATCTTGCTACCAATATAACGTGGCTAATATAATTTATTTAGTTTACTGATTTTAGCTTTTTAATGTATTTGGATGTTTGTTCGTAAGTTTATTTAACCTTCTTTTTGTAATTGTTTTTTGCAAACATGATATTACCAAGCATACGTAATAAAAATATAATTGCATTTAATAAAAATATATATTCTACATTCTTAACCTTTTAGAATGAAGTATATATTTATTATTTTACTATCTTGCTACCACTATTTTTTATGGATATTATTTTAATTTTGTAAACACTTATATGATAATACTGAAAATAAACATTTATATTAGTAGTGGATCTTTTTAATATAATAGCGTAACCAAGTCGCCGTTCCGTCTTTTTAACTCAATCTATTAATTGTTCACGAGAACTAAATACCTAAAAAAAATTATTAGAAACTACTACTTTTACCGATTAATAAATGTACTAATAAACCTAAAACTTTTACAATGTCATTTTCAAAATTTTATATATCACTAATAAAGTAATTTATTTTATTATCGTCATCTTGAGGTGCATTGTTTGTATGAATATCGTTGGACTAATTAATACATATAATATGAATATATATGATTTACATAAACATACATATCTTAATAGTAATAAATGAACATAACTCAGTAATTTATTTCATTAAACGATGACAAATACTTGGGCCAACTCGTTTCATTACTTACGATCAAAATAAAATTTGGAGGAGTCTATTTATAAGAAAAACAATACATATGGTATGATTCAGGTTAAGCATGTCAAATTATAAGTCAATGAATTGTGTGTTGGATAAAAAATAAAGATATTTCGTTGAATTATGTGTCGACCGTAAATATTTATATTTCTTTTATTTACACCGATTTTTTTATCATTTTTTTTGTAAAATTTTTAATTACATTACATATAAAATTTTAATTAGTTTTTTCTATATATTTCATAGCATATTGATAATATATAACCGTTTGAATAACGAAGAAAAAAAATACAAAAATCAAACTATAAGTAAGTAATTTTGTAATTTTTGTAAACTAAAAGGAGAAATTTTGTAAATATAAAACAAATAACTTCGAAACTGTAAAATGGATGTGACCGTTATGATGAAATTGTCACTGACAGAATAGGCTATAATTAAAAGTATAGGAATAGAATCCACCGAGAATAAGGCATGAATCTCCGACTCGTCCTCCTACTTTCGCGGTGCACGCTTAGAACTTCAACGATCTTCACAATCGTACCCGGTGCATCGAAGACCAAACAAAAGAAGAAAGAGAAAAATTGCTTGTGTTTTTTGCTTCGCGCTTGTTGATGGGTCTCTCTCTTTTTGTTTCAAATTCCATCAGGTTTGTTCACTATTTTGATTCCATCGTGGGTTTTAATCAAAATTTGGTATTTGTTATGAATCTTTCTCCAATTCGTTCTTCATATGATAGAAACAAATATATATGTGATGCCCACCAACTGTCTGTTATTTAAACTGGTATTTTCCAATTCATTATTTGCATGCTTTTCTATAGTGCAAGCGATTGGAACAGTATATTTTTGAGATTTGTTTGTTTATGGCCGGATGCTCTCCTATTGCTTGGTGTCAAAACATTCTTTCATTATGGTGGGATGCTTTCTGAATATAATTATATAAACATGGTATCCCCTTATCCAGAAATGAATCATAATCACTCAAATTTTGGAAGTGTAACATGTTGATTATACTCGGATGATTGTTAGTTAAGGGAACTTGTGGTTCCAATTGGATTAGAATATTGGTTACAATAGAGATACATGTGTTTAGAAGCTTGATTCGAAGTAGTGAGTTGCACTTCAGAAAGTACAAATAACTTGATCAGTTTTGTTCTCCTAAAGTAAAGCGAACTAAAATGCATAAAATTAAGAAACTTAGAACTGCATGACTAGCCAGGTGAAAAGTGAGTAGACATTGGATAAATTCATGAATGAAGGAAAAAGTTGTTCCTAATATGTTATGCAAGCTTCTAGCCTGATAAACTCTCCTTTTTGGATGTGTATTAACTTTTTTATTTGATATTTAAGGATCATGTGTTCTAATTTCAATACACATACTGATCTTTTTCTGCCAGATTCCCAAACCAAGTGGTATATAACAAGTTGTATAATGGATAATGAGGCACATGATTATGGTAGATACAACATTTCAAACTCATCTGCTAGCAGTGATATCTTTGAGCCTACATCACTTAATGATGGTAACCTTTTTGTACTTGGCATATGCTTGTCCTGACAGACAGGAAGGAGGTGAGGTGTCAGGTTCAAGCTTTGGCATCACCTTCCTTGCTTTCACACTTTTTCATTGGGCTAAATGCAAGAAACAACAACATATTTACATTTTTATGTTATATATATATATATATATATATATATATATATATATATATATATATATATATATATATATATATATATATATATTTTTTTTTTTTTTTCTTCTTCTTATTGGCACCTTGTACGTTGAGAAATCTACTTAATTATACCAGTAAAATTATTTTGCATTTGAATGAAAACATATAAGTAAAAGTAGGTTGGTTTTTTGTTCTTTTAAGTGATTTTGTGCGTATATATATATATATATAGCCAAGACGAGAACATGTGTTATAGAGTGGCTGAATAGCACTCTTCCCAGTTTGAATCTACCAGTGAATGCTTCAGATGAGGAGTTGAGAAGTTTTGTAGCTGATGGTACTATTCTGTGTCGACTGATGAACAAGCTTAGACAAGGACCTGTTATTGAGGTAGAATATATTCTGATTCAGTCGAAATGGAATTTTGAAGAATGAATGTTGATCAAAGTTTTGATTGATTATGCTTTTCTGTAATCATATATTTGATCTAGTATGGCAATCCTCATCATTCGTCAGAAGCACAATCAGATAATGTAAAAAAGTTTCTTGCAGCCATGGATGACATGAATCTACCCCATTTTAATAGCTCGGAGCTAGAGAAGGTAATCCAATAATTTTTGTTTTGTACCCCACCAATACCATACACACACATGTATCACATTAATTACTGATTACTGGGTTAATAATTTACATTGTTCAGGGGTCCATGAAAATAGTGTTGGAATGCCTTTTAACGCTTAAAGCACATTTCATGACAAAGGCTGCGGTAGTAGGCAGTCCTAATGCCACGTCACCAAAAAGCTGGGGAAGCGAGTCTGTGTCTGTATCAAAATGGAAACATCAACATGCAGTAGATGAGCGCAGTGAAACCAGTGATAGTTACCAAGAAGATGTATCTCCTCGAAGATTTCACCGGGCTTTACGCAGCCCTATGATGTCCGGTATAAATATTACATTGTTATAAGTTAAGACTTAATTAAGAGGGGTAATATTGTCCTTTTCCTTTTCCTTTTCTGCAGAGGCTACTAGTGCCATGATGCATCATGCTGGACATAGATTTCATGAAGTGTTTCAGATGAAACATGGTGGCTATTCTGATCTTCCTGCAGCAAAAATCTCAGAGTTGATGAAATCTAACAGTTTGGATGTGATTTCCTTAATGCTTTTTTGTCCCTTGTGAATTCATGAATATTCAGATTTTACACTATCGTACGTGCTTCTATAATTTCAGAATCTTTTATTGTCCAGATTGCCCCTACACAGTCGCTTCTAAGCATGGTAAATGGGATTCTAGACGAAAGCATCAGCAGGAAGAGTGGTGAAATACCTCATGTATGCATGCTGTTACAGAAAAGTTTCTTCTTAATTTATGTAAAAGAAAGTGAAATATGTTTTTTTAATATAAAACTAATATTCTCTTTTAATATATATATATATATTCCAGCGTGTTGCTTGCCTCATGAGGAAAGTCGTGCAGGAGATTGAACGGCGTATTTCCACTCAAGCTGAGCATCTACGAACTGTAAGAGTCATATATAACTTGTACCTCAGACTTAAAATATCGAAATTTTTATTTCATATCTTTAAATTATGTTATTGAGTTTAAGAACTGTAGTATAAATACTTTAACGAGTTTACCCTTGTATACTAAGTATACAAAAAGCGATAGCAAAGCAAACAACACTTTAACGAGTCTATAGGTTTCCCCTTTTTACAGCTTATTAATTTATATATATATATATATATATATATATATATATATATATATATATATATAATATATATATATATATATATATATATATATATTCTTTTGACATGCAGCAAAACAATCTTTTCAAAACACGTGAGGAGAAATACCAGTCGCGGATTAGAGTTCTTGAAGCCCTTTCAAACGGGAACAATGGAGAGTCAAAGGTTGGTAGCACCTGTTATTTATATGTATATGCTCTTAAAAATAATACATATTTATTTATTTATCTGTACGTGTTTTTTTCACAGGCGGTGCTCAATCACTTTGATCAAATGAAGGTAAGCTTCCTTAGATGTATGTGTTTTCAGAAACCAGGTTCTCCAACTTGTCATTGGTCTCCCCATGGCTGAATTTATGAGTCTGATGTCGGAAAGAGAACATAGGAATGAAATGATGGGTTCCATGGACATGGTTGGCCTAGGCTTGAGGATGGTGGGCCGTGGGCGACTTCACAAAGAGAGGAAACTGTTGGGTTCCATTCAAACTAATATTGCTAAAAGACAAAGCTGCAAAAATGGTCCCTGTGGTTTCTCATTTTATGTGGCTACGGTCCAAACGTTTGAAAAGTTGCAGATCTGGTCCTTTTCAACAAGTTTTGTTGTGGTTTTAGTCCCTCTTCCGTTAACTTCCTTAAAATGACAATTTTAACCCCAGAGACCATTTTCGCAGTTTTGTCTTTTACTATACTATAAGGACCATTTTTGCATACATTCTTTTTTATTTTAATGTAGTATTATATATTAATAGATATTATTTTTAATATATAATATTATATATTAATAAATATTTTTTATTGGATTATTAATTTATTTTAGTTGATTTTTTTAAAATTTTTTTTTTTGGAGTAATTCTTTTTTATTGAATTATTATATATCAATACATATAGTTTTTAATCTATAATCTTTATATCATAATAATATTATATTATTGGATCTCAATTTTTTAGTAATTTTTTGTAATTTTTAATTATTTTTTATTGTATTATTACGTTTTCATTTCTTATTTTCTTCATATACTAAATGTTGTTTTTCGTGTATTATATTTTATTTTCGTTAATTCTATTTTTTTAATTTTTTGGCGAAGGATTCTTTTTTATTGAATTCTTATATCTCCGTACATAGTTTTTTTCATATCTCATCTTTATCTAGCTCATCCCTATTATATTCTGGGATTATTATATATTACAACTCTTTGTTTCTTAGTTTTAGTTCTTTTGTTGCTTTCTTTTAATCCTTTTCTTTTTTGTTGGAGCAATTTTTTTTATTAGATTATATCTATCCCGAAATATGATTTTAATGTCTACATATTTACAATCATAATAAATATACATTATCAGATTCATCTATTTTGTCCTTGTTTTTTTTGACTTATTCCTATTTGTTGAAATACTTCTTTTTCCTATCTTATTTTTTTCCTCTAATAACTTTATCTTATTGGATTATTATTTTCTTTTTTCCTGTACTCCTCGAATGTTTTTCCTTTTGTTAGTGTCCCCCCCAAGTCGTCGACCTCGTAACCGTGTCGCTTATCTCGTCCCACTATTAGCAGGATCACCCTCCAAACATCTTCATTGGAGGTTCAATAGATCCCCTCCCTATTTCACCCGCGCGTTGCTGGTACGCCCCCTGCGACAACCTCTTCATAATCCACTGGAATCCTTCATCCATCCCACATAATGCGCAACAAACCCCTATAACATTTATAAGGGGTGGTGTGACCGCGTGATGGTGTGGTTATTTTTTCCCTATGGGTTCTCATTATAAGCTAGATGAAATGAAAGTGTTTGGCAGCAATCCTAACGATTTCGATGATGAGAGACGACGGTTTTGCGTATCCCATGACTTTATGGTGGAACCAATAAAATTAACAAGAACTATTATTATAATTAAAAATAAATTAATAATCAAATAAAATAATATTATATATGAAGAATAATAAATTAAAAGTAATAATCCAATAAAAAATAGTTAAAAAAAAAGAAATTACAAAAATTTACTAAAAGATAATAATAATCCAATAATATAATATTTATTATGATATAATATATATATTAAAAACTATATTTATGATATATAATAATTCAATAAAAATAATTACTTCGACAATTTTTTTTTAAAAGAATTAACTAAAATAAATTAATATCCAATAAAAAATATTTAGTATATGAAGAAATAATAAATTAAATAATCCAATAAAAAAATTAAAAAAAAAATTAAAAATATTAACTAAAAGAAATAATAATCTAATAATATATTTATTATGATATAAAATTTATATATTAAAAATTATTGTATTGATATATAATAACTTAATAAAAGAATTACTCTAAAAAAAAAATTAAAAAAATCAACTATAAAAAATTAATAATCCAATAAAACAATATTTATTAATAGATAATATTATATATTAAAAATAATATTTATTAATATATAATACTTCAAAATAAAAAAGAATGTATGCAAAAAATGGTCCTTATGGTATGGTAAAAGACAAAACTGCGAAAATGTTCCCTGAGGGTAAAATTGTAATTTTAAAAAAGTTAACAACCAACCAGTTAAACTTAACGGATGAGGAACCAAAACCACAATAAAACTTGTGGAAAAGGACCAAAGCTGCAACTTTTCAAACGTTTGGACCATAACCACATAAAATAAGAAACCACGGGGACCATTTTTGCAATTTTGTCTTGATAAAAATTAAAAACCAACGATAAAAAAAAAGTAAAATTAAATTGATTCTTACTTTATCCTCCTACATATTCATTGATTGTCAAGTGTAATCCACTAATTCTTTTTCGTCATCTTATCCTTTGATTATCACACTTGTCGTAATCTTATGAGTAGGAAGACTTTGTAGGAGGATATTTAACTTTTCAAATAACGAAAAAGAAAAAGGGTATAACACTTATTTCAGGTTTGGTAGGGATCAAATCCGAAACAAAACTAAACTATGGGGACATTCCGAGTTAAAAAAAAAGTTAGGGACCAACTATACAAACTACCGCAAACCACAAGGACCATTCGTGTAATTTTCCCTATTTTCTATGATTAGGATAGGGAGTGCATTCATCTCTTTTGTGCGGATGAAATATTAAGGGCGAGTCCTTGTCCCACCTTTTAAATGGAACAAAACTTATAAATTTTGTCCCTTTGACATTAGTCTTAATCCTAATCCAATGCATGCCAAAATTAGTAGAAGGCCATCATGTCATGTCATATCATGTCACTTGAACTTTCCCTCACAATAACTGGATTTGATTCTCATTGTTACAGATGATGATGAGCCCATTTGACCAGGTAAAGGTAAGTTTATTATATCTTTTATTATCTTGTGTTGCTTTTGTATGATTGATGTGTGCACACAATAATTGTATATGGTCCTCCTTTTGCATTTTTGTATATTAGTTGAGATCACGATCTTGCATTTTAAGCTAGGATGAAGCTTATTGTTCTACTCGACACTGCCACTCATGAACATAAGTTTTAAGGAAAGCGGATGATGCCAGTTTTTGAAAGCATTATGTATCTTGTAGAATAAATGAAAGAAGTTATGAAAAGAATCCCATAGGAAACAAGACCATGGCATTTTAAAACACAAAGAAAAAAGTGTTGTGAAAATCCCGACACATAGGTGTTTAATCCCCACTTAGGAAATTAGTGAAGCTATAGGAGTCGATGAACCTCGAAGAATTTCTAGTTCAATAGAAAGGAATGAATGTTAATATGAAGCAGATGAAGTTTGTATCATAGAAGAATATGGAGCAACCTACCATTTGAACATGTTTAAAACTTACTGTACGAGGTGATAAAGACTTGAACATATATTATTTTGAACTTGTTATTTACTTATTTTTCTATGATTTTGGTCATATTTTATTTTCCTAAACTAATTTCTTTACAACTTTGGTCATCCGACGAGTCCCTTCCTCTCTAGTAGTGCCTAGCAAGTTTTGCAAGGCTTACATGATTGAGAGAAAATGTTATGACATAAAACATAAACAAACCTCAAAACTTCTATTTCACACTTTCCCATTATGTTTGTTGACACTTAATGTCATTATTTAATAGTACACATCAAAGTCACTAAGTTCAAACTTACTTCTTAACACATTGCATGCACTTGCACCATATTATTCCTAACTGTGAACCTTCCCTATTGAAAAGTCAACCATATATGTAATTTGTTAAAAGTTAAAACTTAAATGAAATTGTTTGGGTCTTTCTATATTAGTTAAAAAATATATAACCAGTCATAGTTGAACTACAATTAACAAGAAAAAGATGGCAAACTGGGCTAAGGCTTAAAGATTGTTGTTATTGTTGTAGGTTGATGTGACAAGAACAGGAAGTGGCAAGAAGGGCGTAGTTTTGCAGGTGAGTTCATTTCTCTTTCTCAAACTAATTACAATTTCCATAATAGTTGGATAGCATGAAATCATATAAAATATGTTTACTGTTTATGGTGTACATTTAATGGGAAAATTACCTCATTTCTTTTTACCCAAAATAGGCGTTGTAGTTACATCTTTTTGCATATAACAACAACGAATGTACTTTTTGTCATAAATAGCAATTTGTTACGTGAAACTTATGAAATGCTTACTATTTTTGGATTAGTGTTGCACTTATTGTAAGTAAATATTAGGAATCCGTTGTTTTGGGTAAGGAAATTTATGTATGTATGTATGTTATGAGTATGGTTAAAAAATAAAGTACACTATAAAAATTATAGTTTACATATTTCTATTATTGGTAAGTACGTTGCTATTATGGGAAAAGAGTTGTAAACACATTGGCTTTATTGGTAAAAGATAGAGTTGATTGCCTATATTTGTAGCAAGAGTAAAATACATAGTTATTTCTTGCAATTTTCTCTACACTTAAATGCATGAAAGTTTTATATTGGTACATGTTTATAGAATCTGAACATCAAAGGCCTACTATGAGTTATAGTGTAACTATAAATAACTCCATTTCTGCAAACCAAACATGTGACACTTTCCAATTCCTTTGACAGAATCCATTCATTCCAATAACGAAATGCTCTCTAGGTGATTCACGACTATACAGTTCCGTGTATAAGTGTAAATTAATACAAATTCGTTTTGCTTCCCTTACACTGTTTTTGCTGCTTATGTTTATGTGTTTTGTTTCAGCCTGAAAAGATGAATTTGCCTATGGAAAAGAAAATTGAGGATCACGAATTGGAAGAAATAATAAAAGAGAAGGATAGCAGAAATGCTGAAATTGCAGATTTGAAGCAAGAACTTGAGAATGCTAGAAAAGCACATCAAGAATACTGCTCACAAATAGAAGCAAGTGCTAGAAAGACTCAACAAGATCTTGAGAAAAAATTAAAGGAGTTTGAAGATCATCTGAATGATTCAAAGAAGAATGTGCAAGAGCTTGAGGCTAAATCTCGGTCAAAAAGTCAATGGTGGAACAAAAAAGAACACATTTACAAAACATTTACAGAATTCCAACTTGGTGCATTGAAGGTATATTATTATTATTATTATTATTATTATTATTATTATTATTATTATTATGTCACGTCACTAAAATAAAAACTTTTGCGTCTTATATTTTGATATAATCCAAGTCATATATATATTTCAGGAACTAAGATTTGCTTCTCAATCAGTCCGTCAGGAAATTTTAAAAACTCAAAAGAGCTACTCCGAGGATTTTGATCAATTAGGTTTTTTTTTTTTTTTCTTAAAAATTTCATCAATCTCTGGAGTGGTCTGTAAATGTAACAGCATAGTTAATCTCATGATTATTTCTCTCTTGTTTAGGGACAAAGCTTAAAGTAATGCAAGATGCAGCAGAAAGCTATCAAGCAGCCATTAATGAAAACAAGAAGCTAAACAATGAAATTCAAGAACTAAAAGGTTGATTTATTTATGATGATATGATATTTGATATGTGTGAAGGAACACTGATGGGATTCTGGTGAACAGGAAATATCCGGGTTTACTGTCGAATAAGACCGTTTCTTCCTGGTCAAAAGGAAAAAAAATCAATTATTGATTATATCGGTGAAAATGGGGAGCTAATTGTTGCTAATCCCTCCAAACCAGGGAAAGAAAGTCGCAGGAATTTCAAGTTCAATAAGGTCTATGGTCCACGTGCTACTCAAGGTTACTTCAATTTTGTAATTGCAATCTTTTGAGATAAGTTTTACTTATGACTTCTGCTATTAAGTGAAGTTTATGATTTTTATAATAGCATAATTATTATGAGTATATATATTCAATTGGGAACATATGAATTTGCTAATATTTTTATATGGATGTTGGCAGCTGAGGTGTATGGAGATATACAACAACTGGTGCAATCGGTTTTAGATGGCTACAATGTGTGTATATTTGCATATGGTCAAACTGGATCCGGGAAAACCTACACAATGGTATAGTCCTTTCTTTGTATATCCATGATTGATGTTATTTTTTAGGGTTTGAATGCAATGTATTTTCGTTCTTTTGTTTATTGTTGCATTTTACTTTCATTTCTTTCGGCTACAACATTGTGCTTGGAAAAATCTACCAGTTATAGCATTGTCATCCACAAATCATTTTTCAGTGCTATAATTGGGAAAAATCTTCCAAGTATAATGTCCTAATAAGCAAAAAGTTGAAAGTACAATGCTCTAACTGGATAGATCTTTTAAAGTACAATGCCTTAAGAAGAAAAAAAAAATTCAAAGTACACTCTTGTAATAGAAAGAAATGCAAGTGGGATGTTATAATAAACAAATAAACACACGTATGTTGCTATTTTATGCCTTTAGCACTATTTTTTTTTATTATCATGTTTATATTGTTAGTTTCTTAGACATGTCTGAAGTATTATTGAATGGTTTCTTTCCATAGAGTGGGCCTGACAAAGGATCTCCAGAAGAATGGGGAGTCATTTATCGCGCTTTAAATGATCTTTTCAAAATATCTCAAAGTAGAAGCACTTACAAATATGATGTGAGGGTTCAAATGGTTGAAATATATAATGAACAGGTCAGAGACTTGCTAGCAAATGATACTTCTCAAAAAAAATATCCTTTTATTGGTCAGTTTATTGGTATATTATTGTCTCATGTTTAACAAAAAACCCCTCTAAAAATAAAAAATAAAAAATAAACACTCCCCTAGATTTTCATTCTGAGCTGAATGCCTTCAGACCCTTGACATAATTTCTGAAATTTAACTTTCTTATTATCTAAATTGTGCTTCATGTTTATATGGCTAAAATACGCAAATACTTGGGGGTACTTTTTGGTGGATTTTCCCGATGTTGAAATATTTTTTATAAAAGGGTTAAGTGCAAGAAATAGCAACATACTTCCATTGATTTCTTCATTATAGCATCCTACTTTCATTTTTTTTTCTATTATAGCATTGTACTTTGAATAATCTAACTAAATAAGTAAAAGATAGAAAGTAAAATGCTATAATTTAATGGATTTTTCAAAGTACAATGTTGTAGCAAAAGGTAATGTAAGCACGATGCTATAATAAACCAATAATGTAAGTACGTAGCTATTTCTTGCATCTAGCATTATATAAAAAGACAAGGTTCTAATGTTTATCATTAACCTATCAATTTGGAGATACCAATATCATATTGGATCCACCTGCAGACCTATAGCTTTATTTAAAATTAATTTTCTAGTAAATTGAAGAAAATAGCATCTTATGTTAATCCTTGACTTGCGCACACTTGGGATTTTAGCAACCACACAAAGCAGTTTAGCTGTCCCGGATGCTAATGTGCGCCAGGTCAGCGATCCAGCTGATGTTTTGGGGTTAATGGAAATTGGATTTAAAAACCGAGCTAGAAGATCTACTTCCATGAATGAAAGAAGCAGCCGATCACACAGGTTTGATTTGTTTATTATAGCAACCTACGTTCATTTCTTGGTATTACAGCATTGTACTTTGAAAAAAAAAACCCAATTATAGCAATGTCAAGTGCAAGGCTATACTTTTTTACATTTTTTTTTAAAGTACAACCCCTTAATAAGAAAAAAAGTTGGAAATGCAACGATGTAATAGGATGAAATGGAACAAAAATATATGAAAGTACAATCCTAGTTCTTGCTCCTAGACATAAGTTTAATGTCATCCTATGTTTATTGAAGTAAAACTCGGCCCCTTTGACCTAGATAAGGTTCTGTCTGTTTTTTTTAACCTAATTTAGTAAGCTATATATGAGTGTTTCTTTTGACTTAATCTAGATACAATGACTTAATAGAAAAGTCTTTCCCATTAAGTTGTATATTTTTTACAAATTTCCCTCATTTATTTTTTACTTGTATTTTTCCCCAAGTTTACCGTCATTTTTAGATATCTTTTAAAGCATTGTTTAAAAAAGTCATAAACTTGTTACAAATTTGCTCTCCATCTATTTCCGGTAGTGTGCAATGAAAAACAGGGCCTTAAATATAGAGGTGTTCCTTTTTCACTTTGTGCAGGAAGAACAAGTTAACAGAGAAAGTCTTTCCCCATTAAGTCGTAACGTTTTACAAATCTGCCGTCAAATTCCCCAAGTTTGGCATCATTTTTCAAATGTTTTTGAAACATCATTCATGGAGACAAAATAGAATCCATTTTTGAAAAGAAAAATAATAATAAATCTAATAATGCATCTGCATTGAGAACCATACATAGATTGTGATGTGTAGTAGAAAAGAAATAGAATATGGCTGATGAATAATTTAGTATAATATGACAGTGTTGTAACGATCCATGTTCACGGAACGGATCTGAAGGATGGTGCCTCGTTGAATGCTGGTCTTCATTTGGTAGATCTCGCGGGATGCGAAAGAGTAGATCCTACTGATGTCGTTGCCGACCGACTCAAGGAAGCACAACATATTAACAAGTCTTTAGCTGCCCTTGGTGATGTCATCTTCTCCTTGTCAGCAAAAAGTGTTCATGTTCCATTCAGAAATAGCAAGCTTACTCAGGTCCTTCAAACCTCTCTAGGTAACATCTCAATTCTCTGTTCATACCTTCATTATTGCTGTTAAATAACTATATACATATCTTTCTTATAGCTTTCTTCCCTGTTATTCTAATATTTTCTACAATCTCCAATGTATATATATATATATATATATATATATATATATATATATATATATATATACACACACACACACACACACACTACCATGCATACCAACATAGCAACCCTAGTTCACCCTATTTTTAACACTCCTTAAGTTTGAGCACAAATATTGTACATGCCCAACTTGTTTCATATAGGCTTAATATGTCAGAAAGTAACTTCATCGTTGCAATGCATGTCCATTACCTCACTTGTGTGGTTCCCTAATTATGGAGGTAGATGACGAATCCATGTCAATTCACACTTGTTCTGGGCATAACTTGATATTCGAATTTTGCACTAGATCTTTATTCTTATTTATTCAAATATACTAGATTTCCGCTAAACAAAATGCAATATCTTGTGGTTAACCTTTGACTATAGCGTGACTTCCATCCAAGTATCATGCTATTTACTGTTGCCTTGACTTGTGTAGAGAAGTCCTTTTCTAGGAGCACTTTTGAGGTAGCTTAGTATATATTACACTACATCCCAATAATGAGAGTGAGGTGGTGACATAAACCAACGAACCAATCCAACTGAAAAGAAAATATCTATATATTCATGGGCCCTCTAACAACTTTCCTTCTTTTCGATACAACTTGATGTTTTGGGGTGACACGAAGTGATGCAAATCATTGGGTCTTCTATAAGACATTCAGGGTTATTTGTGTCTACTTGATAGTTTATGTTGATGGTATAGTAATCATTAGAAACAATATCACCGAGATCCAACAACTAAAGGATCTTGTGTTAGAATATTTCCAAACTAAGGACATAGGAAGACTTAGATATTGAAGTTGATTAATATCAAAAACATGGGATTTCAATATCTCAACATAAATATGCCCTAGACATTCTTGAAGAAGTTGGTCTAGTAGATTGCATTCCTCTCTCTTATAGATCCAAATATTAAAATCCTACGAGGAGGAATAGGTGAGGCTCTAGTAGACCAAGGGATATATTTATTGTAAGTGTAGCAAGTCAATTTTGAATTCTCCTCGTGACTCTTATTAGGAAGCCATGTTATGAGTTTTAGATCAATCTGAGCTCTCGGAAAAGGCTTTCCGTATGAGAATAAAGGTCACATGGAGATTTAATGTTATTCAAATGTTGATTATGATGGATGACCTTCTAGTTAAAGGCCAACCTCATGGTTTTGTATATTGATTGAAGGCAATATGATTTCTTGGGAAGCGAGAAACAAAATATGGTAGCAAGGTCAATTACATAGGCCAAGTATCCAATAATGACTAATGTAATATGAAGTTATAAGGGTCAATAATTTCTCAAAGAATTAAAGTTTTGCAAGGTTACTCCAAGGAAGCTCATAGTGTCAACTAAGTTGCTATACATTGCCTCTAATCCCATTTTCCATAAGGAATAAAACACTTAGAAATTGTTTTTCACTTCATCACTGGAAAAGCTTCTTAATGATATCATTTTGACTGAGCTCGTTATCTTTATTGATTGGCTAACAAATATGATCACAAGGTTTTTCATTTGGTTGAATGTATATGCAACAAGCTTAGAGCATATAATATATATGCACAATCTTGAAATGGAGTGTTAGATAATTACAGTATATAGAAAATTATAATTTTATCTTTAATATATAATTTGTTTTAATTTTAGATATATTTAATAAATAATTATATATTTATAGGAACTTATCTTTGTTATCATTATCATTAGATTTTTTTAGTATAAATACATGTACAATGTGTCATTATTAAATAATGATTATGCATAAATTTTTTTTACTTTCATAGGAATCATTGTTGAGTTGGCATCACAAGAATTAAGTTTCGAGAAGGATTTCAAAAACCTATTCTTCCTAACAAAGGAAGATTTCTTTACGAGGTATAGAAACCTCAATGACTAAAAAATATTGGCAACTTTCTAGATCCTTAGCTTGAAATTCCTTCTAAATAAAGGACTATAGCCAAACTTCCCTCTCTTAATCATATTAAGCTGGAATATCTAAGGTTTGTGCATGACTCGATCCGCTTAAAATGCCCTTACATCTGTGTCTCATAATATCACAATCTAAGAAGATTGTACCATCAAATTTGATCCAAACTTGTTTGAAAAGTCATCGGGGTGGGAACATGTTTTTGATACTTATTTGACATGGACCACTCTTAAATTCATGATTGTTATCCATGTTTCTATATTTGTTGTAATAAGTGCAAATCTCAATTTATAGCGGTGAAATTCAAGCTAATCCGCCACTATTAGTCTAGAAAGTAAGTTCTCGTTAATCAAAACTAAAAGACATTACTACTAAGAACTAACGAGTGCTAAAAGATACTTGATGGTGGAAATTAATCTAAGACTGTAATTGCAAGTCAACAAGTTAATCGATAAGCTTTGGTAAGCTCAAGAAGTACTTCTAGTAGTAGCTGAGCGATCAACTCGGCCGGTTAGCATCAACATCAGTTGTCGGTCAGCTTAACAAGTCAATCAAATCAACTAGTGGCTAGCTTCTGCAATTTACCATGTAGTTTGTTTTGTTTCTGTAGTTGAAAGAGCAACACTCTTTTGTAACATGAACATTCAACCGGTTTTTGTAACCCCGATTATGAACACATAAACTATTGTGCTCTTTCTCGAATCCATGCAACCCCATAAATCAGCATCGACAAAACCTTCCAACACTAGCTATTTTCTTCTGAAGCATAAGGCAGCCTCGGAGGTACCTTAATTTCAAGTAGCATAAGAACTACTTGACTTATTCATAATGTTCTCTCCCTAGATTAGACATAATCAGGTCACAACTCCAACTATATGAGCAATACTTGGTCTGATGCACACCATAACATACATCAATCTACTAACTACTGAGGCATCAAAAATTTAGTCATCTCTTATTTGTCCATTGTTGTAAAACTCGCCGAATTGGCTGATTACCTGGCCGAGTACTCCTTACTCGGCCCCTTACCGAGGCGAGTTACAAAATCCGAGTACTCCCCGATTGGCCCCTTACTGAAGTGAGCAGTGTTGTAAAACTTAGCCAACTCGGTGATTAATATGTATAATATACTTAATGATTTATTATTTAACACACACATGTGATTATTACTGCATATATATCTTAAAGTTTCAGTAATTATTCACAAAGTGAGACCATTGTGTGTTTTTTAGTTTTGTGTATTCATATGTATCTAATTTTGTTATATATTTCAATCAACTTATGATTTTGACATATGTAATTACCCTAACAATATTTGTACATGAGTTACCGAATCTGAGTACTCCCCGAGTACTCGCTACTCGGCAGTTAGCCGAACAGGTACCAAGTAGCGAGTTCTACAACCTTGTATTTGTCTTCTTCAGTCTTTAGGGACTGTACTTTAAGAGTCTCAACTGATTACACAACTGTGTACTTCCAGGTTTTGCATTTGTCATGGTAAATTCTCTAGAACGTTTTTTAACTTTTCTTGAAAGAGTTTTAAAGTACATGCAACTATGCCTTTAGTTATGCTTATGCCCAATATCTTTTTAGTAGCCCCTACGTTCTCCATCTCGATCTCTAGATAATTTCTTCTTCAACTTGTTGATGTTCTGCATGTCTGATCCAACAATCAACATGTCATCAACATATAATAAAAAAATGATGTATTAGGAGTCGAACTGCTTCAGGTAACAACAATGGTCCATTTCACATCTCTTGTAACCACTTCATTGCATGACGCTATCAAACTTCAAGTACCATTGTCTAGAGGATCTCCAGTTAGTTAGGTTAGGTTTCCCTCATTTACATTCATACATTCAAGGTCTTTAGTCCCATTCCTTTAGTCAACTTACTAATTCTCAAGGCTTGATCCTTTTTAAGCGCATCCACAATGTTATCCTTTGACTTCACATGGTCAACATTGATAATTCAAGTTGAGATTATTTGTCCAATGGTAATATTTTTACGAAAATTTGTCGGAACTTACTATTATACATCACACTGTGTGTTAGTAATTGTTGATTGGCTATCCCAATGTATGCATACACTTGCTTAGGTAGTTTTGGAATGTATTCCAGACATCACACTGACATCCCACTGTGTGTTAGTAATTGTTGATTAACCTTAACCACATCTCTAGTGTTTCTTCTCCCATCTCTAAAAAAAACATCGTTCCTCTACATCCACATATGGTAGACAACCCATGTCGGCATCAATTGCTTAAAAACGGATTTAAGAGTCTTATATTTGGTTGAGTTCTTAAAACTAGCCATGATGTTTTGCCAAACATAGAATATATTTTGCAAGTCTGCCTTCTTGACAAGGTTGTACCATAGATGTATCGGTAAGTACATTAGTATATTAGAAAAAGAGATGGCGATGAGGGTCTTGTTGACTTTCATAACACAGATGTTAACTTCACATGGTGTTCTAAAAACTTTAGTCTATATTGCATTTTAGCTTCTCTTTATTCATAATCAATAAAACAAAAGACTGACAGTGGGTACTTTGGCCAAACCAAACCATATGGTACCAAGGAACCTCTACACACTCATTCTGTGAATCTTCCTATGCCATTTTTTTTTATTGCAAACATACCAAACTTGCCACCTGCTTTACCACTATATTTGGCCTGGAATCCCATTAGACATATTGGCAGTTGGGGAAGTGCATAACATGCCTAATGCTCCTTCTTGAAAATAAGTAACATAAAGGCCCTACTCTACAGATCAGAAAATGATGATCCATCCCTTATTCAAGACCGTAATATATATATATTCAAATATCCTTTTGAACATTGAGACTTTTCTGCCATCCCTAGCCCATATTTTCTCTCAACTTTGATATTGAAAAAACTATGGTCTCCATACTGATGCATATGGATCCTTTGAACATAGAGAGTTTTTGTAATAATTCTCTAGATATGGGATGTCATTAAACATCCATTCCATGTAGCCATGTTTTTTATTCCTAATCTACCATGTAGCAAACATGATTTCTAAGAGACCTTTGATATAACCTTCTTCAACACCCTTTGGTACCACAAAATCCTTTCATCAACTTCTAATATCCTTTGTGATCGACGGAGGCAAAATGAAAACCAAAAGGCAATACCAATGTTTATACCTTTCTTTTTCCTTTCTTGTTTGAGGACTTCCCTTTTCCTTCATAGGCCTCTGACGACTGACCGTGCTTTGCCACATTTTCCTTACCCTCCAAATGGTATACTCCATTACGTCTTACATTCTAAAGACCCCAATAGTTTCTTTTTCATTGATGCTTTGCAATATATGCTATACAACACGCCCACCAAATCAGAATACGTCCAAGCATCCACTCTCACTTTTTGAGCATCCGTGATCTTTTCAACAAGTTGGTGAGCAAAATCAATCAAGAATCTCAGGTTCAGTGTTGTGAGATAAAACAACATTATCTGTTGTGACCTTTAAAAGCGCATACTAGAAATATATCCGGTCACTCATCATGATTAGCAACTGTGGTTGCTATTGATGGTGGTCCCAACACGGTCTGTTGGGGTTGTTTTGTTCTCAAAAATAAATTATAATGTTTCTTTTTTACCGAAAATATAATACATTTGAAGTTTGCTGGGAAATTATTTGTTGCTTTTTCTGAAAGTGCTTATAGTTACAAATATAAAGGCAATAAACTCAAAACAAAAGGTAGAAATACTACAATATAAACCAGAATGTCTATCGTATTTGAAATGATTCCTTAAACAGATTTACCCCTATGCCTTGGATCTTCTTTTGTAATAAAAGCATTCTATAATGGATAATAAGTGACTCATTAGAAGTGGTTCGAAAATAGCGCTCAAAGTGTTAGAAATTAGGTAGGATTTATAGTGGGGATCTGGATACATTTTGGATCGTGTAAACACTTTTCGAATTGATATTTCTAGCTTATAACCGGCTTACAAGAAATCCAGCCTAGGATAATCCCTTGGACCCCGCTAGGGGCGCTGCCCCTAGACCTCGTCAAAGCGGTGCTGCCCCTTTGGAAACCCTGAATCCAGGGGGGCTACCCTCGGACCCCCGACTTGTCGTCGAACCGACTTCTAATTCGATTTTATACATGCATGCACTTCACACATACCCAAACATATATTAGAGTACAAATTACGAAGCCCTTAGCTTACATGTAAGTTACAATTACACAAATTGACCTGGTGACACTACAATCACCAACACAAAGCATGTGTCGCGTAGTCATGTGCAAATGTTAAATCACCAATAAATGTCTAATGCTCTTGAAATCCCCACGGATGAGAATTGAAATAAACACTCAGATAATATTTCGAGGAATCCTTCATTTCTTTCTCGAAATCTCAAACAACATTACTTTACAATATATATTTGAAATGCTTTAACAATTTATACAACAATAAATTTTTTTTACTCATATCATATTTTCCTATAGGCTGGAAAGGTCCAATCTATAATCACCGCTTTACTAGGCTTGGAACCTTAACCGCAAAGTGAGCGCAACCTACTTCACCCCATGCAATGGATCAATCGATGCAAATTTCATGTTCATGTTGGTTGCATAGCTTTCTTTCTATCTTTATTTAATGCACATGGAAATATAATTGTTAAACTTTACAAATGCTTTACAAATATGCTTCACAAATATTCTTTAAATATGTGTTATGCACGTATAATTATGCTTTCCAACAATACACATTTTATTAGGCATCCCCACTTGAGCAAGTCTTGAGCACCTTAATCATGGTGTTGGCTCTTCTCAACAACTTTTTCATCGGTACTGTAAGATCATAAAAGGTGATCTTCAATAAAACATGAAGACCAAAAGTAGTCCTTTCTAGATGCATAATTTTCTAGAACAAGAAGAATTTTGGAGAGAGATTGATTCTAGAGAAGTCTATATACTTGTTGAGAGTTTTGGAAAAATGAAACTTTGAAGATCAAACACTTTGGTTTTCATCAAAAACACACATGTTACTCTCCTATTTTAGGGTTGTACTGATATAAGTCTATAACAAACATTTTGAATTTCTAGGTCAAAACAAACTAAAACCCACAATCTATAAATATTACATATTTCTACATATAACCATGCATTTACTACGGTAATGAAGCTCATAAAATTATTAGATATGCTACAATAAATTCTCAAAATGATTCAGTTGCCACACACATTCATCTTTCAACTTTTCCGCCATGAAAAAATAGAAGTGGTGTTCACAAAAGCTGTTCTTCTCTACAAGTTCTACAACATTAATTCTTGGACATTGGAAAGATTTATCACTCAATCTCTAGAAAAAATACACTTTCTCTCTCTATGAATAAATCTCTTACTTGAATGGAGAGAGAGAGAGAGAGAGAGAGAGAGAGAGAGAGTGTGTGGTGTGTGTGTGTGTGTGTGTGTGTGTGTGTGTGTGTGTGTGTGTCGTGACTTTTATACTTTGCACTTTGCAAATATCTACCAAAATTCGGATATATGTTGGATATAAAATTTGGGTATTTCTAGACCTCTCTCTAACTAATGTCATTTACATGTGTATACATTTATCATTAATTGTTGATATAACCATAACTTTGAACCATTTATGACTCCTTTTTAGACATTCAGAAATTCTTATGGTTTGTAAGTGTTATAGCTTATCTATTGTGTTGGAGAGAGAGAGAGAGAGAGAGAGAGAGAGAGAGAGAGAGAGAGAGAGAGAGAGAGAGAGAGCGAGAGAGAGAAGGAGGGAGGAGGGCAGGGGGAGGGGGAGGGAGAGGGAGAGAGAGAGAGAGAGAGCGAGTATGCGAGAGAAGAAGAGATATTCCTCTTGCTCCTGATATCGATCTTTTGCCATTAAGCCAAGCATAGACACTCATATACAACTCACAAGATTAATTCGGGGCCCCATTAAGTCTATTAAGTCAAAAAGAAACAACGCTCCTAAGCAATCTGTACATCTTTTACTTGAGTAAAATACTCATCTATGGTGGAGAATCTATTGATTAAATTGAATTGTTCAATCATACAAGAAAATTGTTATAACGATAAATTCAACATATATACAATGGACAATATGCAAGGAAAACACATTTTGGGTGGAATATTTTGAGATTTTTATCCATCATGTTTGATGTTTTTGTCCTGTTCAATGTTCAATATGCTGAATATGTTCAATCGAATTCATTTTTTTAGACATATTGGTACAAGTCATTTACTATCATCCCGTTAAAACGGAAAGAAACAGTCTTTGTTCAAACAACACTTTATTCATAAAATTGTCATTTACTATCCTAAGTTTTGTTCCCATTAAGTCAAAAAGCAACAACCCCTAACTTCTCTCATTTGCAGTTATGTGTTTTAAATCTTTTTGTACTCCTTGATACAGGTGGTCAAGCAAAGACACTTATGTTGGTGCAGCTAAACCCAGAAGTACCTTGCTATAGTGAAAGTTTGAGTACATTAAAGTTTGCTGAACGGGTTTCCGGAGTGGAGTTGGGCCCTGCTCGCAGTTGCAAAGAGGGCAGTAATATCAAGGAATTAATGGAACAGGTATTTTATGCAATTGTTTAATGGAAAATTTCATGCATTTATATCTAATTTTTCTTTTTCTCCTCAAATTTATGGACATACATATAGCTCGATGACAACAATGTAAATCAATGCAAGAATCCATTGTGCTCTCTACATGCTTATTCTTTGCCAATATGACTATAGACAAGAAATAACAACATGCTTTCATCATTTTGTTTATTATGGCATCGTGTTTTTATTTCTTCCTATTTAAGTACGGTACTATGAACAATCTTCTCATTATCATAATATCATTCACATACAAAACAGTTTTTACTGCTATAAGTGGGTAGATTTTTTCAAAGTAAAATGTCTTAATAATTTGTTCTTTATATTTTTTCTCTCAGTAATCTGTTCGATAAGCATAAAAGAGAAGAAATATAATCATTTACAGTACTATTAGCGTTATTGTTATCTAAATTTGGTTTTTGGGTTGACTCAATAAACAGGTGAGTTCTCTAAAATACACAATTGCAAAAAAAGATGAGGAGATTGAGCGACTACAAGGTGTTAAAGATAAGAAAAATACAGGCGCCGATAAACGTTCATCGAAGTACGGGTCTTCTCCCCCAACTCCGAGTTCCAAAGGTGGAGCTTCTCCACGCAACAGCAACGTAAAGTCTTCCATTGGTGCCGCAAAGGTAAACCGATCCGAAAATAGTCGTAGGTCACTGGACGGCACCGCCTATAAACCTCCTACCACTCGAAGAGATGGCTCCTTCCGGCACTCAATTAGTCATGCCGCCGAAGGTCAGAATTTTTCAGAATGATGCTCCTCAGATTTAAGGATTTCGATTTGGCGCTGCTGATACTTGTATTTCTGTCGGAAACAGACCTTGATATTTACTCCGCGTCTGCTGACAGCAGCCCCTCAAGTGAAGGTTCAAAATCATCCCACACCTCAAACAAGTAAGATTCTACACACATTATATATATATATATATATATATATATATATATATAGAGAGAGAGAGAGAGAGAGAGAGAGAGAGAGAGAGGTGAGTTATTTTCAGAATATAAAGATTTACGAGAACTCAAGAACTCCTAATCCGCTCATCATTTTTCAAAACCAAGACCACCATTCAAATAGTGCGTCTAAGCCATGTCTAGGCTAAAAATAAAAAGATTTGACGATTTTTTTTATTGAAATGTGCATGTATGCACATTTGAATGTTCATATATATATATATATATATATATATATATATATATATATATATATATATATATATATATATATATATAGGTTGTTTAGTAAGTATACTACGTTCAATCTTATACAACTATCGTCATTTTCATGCATTCTCATTAATTCTTATTCATTTTTGTTTCTACACATCGTTTTTCCATCATTTTCATTATTACAGAATACGACTCAATAAACATCCTGACAACATTCTGACAGAATGAGAACAATAATAAAAAGTCTATAATAACCTTATAGACGATTTAATTAGTGAGAATGTGTGAGAATGACAATAGTTATGTAAGATTGAACGTATTTATATTATTGAATAATATATTTTATCTGTCATTCTCACAGAATAGCACTGTCCACACGTCCGCACAATATATATATATATATATATATATATATATATATATATATATATATATATATATATATATTCGAAACCAATATAACAACTGGACTCTAATATCATCGCTTAAGATAATCATAACTTGAAAATGTCAAAAAATAAATAAACACAAAAGACATAAATATACATGAATGCATATTTACATGTGCATATATGCATATTTCCAAAACAAAAACAAAAAAAAAATCATCAACTCTTTTTTTTTTTTAGCATTGACCCCTCTTAGATGCAGCATTTGGAGAATACCGGTGGTCTTGGTTTTGAAAAATTATAAGCGGATTGTTCTCGAGTTCTTGCAAATCTTTAAGTTTTCAAAAGAACTTGTTTGTGTATATATATATATATATATATATATATATATATATATATATATATATATATATATATATATATGGGTGAGCATAGATGTGTACCCTAGCTAATTTTGACGGACTCAGCCGTTCCTAAAATATTTGAAACGGAACCGGTTGTATGATGATTATGTACAAGAGGAATAATAAAGAAAAATGTATGGAATTTTAGTTGTTACGAGTATTCGCATGAAATGAATAGATGGAAAAGACAAAACAAAATCAATTATTATGATTTCATATTAGAAAAGGAATTGCTAGAAAAAAAAAATAGTTCTCATTATTAACTATACTCATTTTTCGGGTTCAAGATATATCTTAAAATTATAAATATCCAAATTGATCAAAAGTACTAATTCTTTGGCTCTTCCTAAGATGTAACCAAAATCGGTTCCGGCGGGTAGCAGTTCAAAAAAAAAAAAGAACCGGAAGACGGTTCTAAAACTTTAGGAACCGGAACCAAAATTGCTAAATACGGTTCTGATTCCGGAATCGCTGGTTCCGCGACAGTTTTAGTTCCGAAAGAGGGTACCATGTTTCGCTACTGACGTTAGTCATGAATGAATGTTGTTATTGTTTTGCTCACAACTCAAACATTTTAATTTTACTACACATACCACTTCAAGATAACGAGACAAACCTAAAATAGTTCAAAATTATGTTATTGTAGTTTTATGAACTTAAGCAACAGAATGAATAGATTGGGATAAGTCATAAGTCTTTCCGCATTGCGAGATCTTTATATGTATAATCTATTATTACTTGACTAACATGAATTAAGTCCGATCTTGATAGCTTGTATAGATTCCCCATGTTTAAATTATCGATAAGTTTGTGTTTTGCTAGAACACTAATATAAAAAATGGTTTTGTAGGCCAAAATCAGGTGCCAAGAGTTCTCGCCCACTGTCAAAGATATCAAAGGACCTTCCTAAAGCTGCAAAAGGTACTTGATTCTGGTTTTATTTTGGTTATTCATTACTCAGCCTTTTTACTTGTAATACACTCGTGATTGTGGTTCTTGATCTCGTATGTGCAAGAAAGACATGAATGCCCTTCTCATTCCATCATTGAAAATAGTCCTATGAATCTTGTCCAGCCCAGTGTAAAAAATGCAACCTTGACGTGGACCGGACATTCTTACTAGGGATATTTATAATAATGAGGATGGTAGAGAATTAACGTCTTTTGCACACACAAGAAATTGGGAGCAGGTTCTTGTCTCATCTTGTTCCATTTTTTTTAGTGGAACAAAAAATTGCAATTTTTTTTCTATTCACATCGGTCCGAGTCCAATACAAGCCAAATAAGTAAATCAATTTGTTTACAGGCCTGTTCAAATCACCAAGCGGTAGTAGTTTGACCGGCAAAAGTTCCTCCAAGAGATGGTGATAAAATAGATAGTAAATATAACCCTTCATACTTATTATACACATCTTTCCCTTTGTTTTTCTTTTAACCCTTGTCTTGTTATCTTTTTAAAGATTCCCTTAATTGGCATTTTAGGTGTCTTGTTTGTTCCTAACACAAGAAAATTCTACAATATGGTTTTCTAGTGCCATGTGACTTCTTTTAGTTTTAACTTTGTAAATCCATAGTACTCATGTATACTCGCATGTGTTCCTCATGTCTTTTACATTAATGATATTTTTTATTTCTGTTGAAATTAGAGTTATTTAACAATATACTTACATGTTTTACTTATGGAAACAATGTACATATATTTTATTTATCGATGATAGCAATATATTATCTAAACCATATAATATGCTTTTTATTTTTTACTTATAACCAGGATTTTACCCGCCGCACAATGGGGGGACAATACTGGATTTAAGAAGAGTAATTTTTTCGGTAGCAGTAGAACAATAGTCAGGGACCAAAGCCACGCCAAACGAATTAATTAAAAATAAGCATGAAAATGTAAAAAAAAAATACTTCGAAACATAGACAAACCTAAATTTATAATGACACCTACATAAAAAAAAGCAAGTTCTAAATTTAGTCTGAAACGTTAATCATTTCAAATTTATATGACACATACATAAAAGTAAATACACAATAAATTATTTATTTTTTTAACTTAAATAATTTTCCAAAGTTCAAAGCCAATGGGTCAAAGTAATATTTTACAAAGTCGATAGTGGCAACTATAGAAGAATCTAATTATCTACACTACGGGGGTAAACACGAAAATTTAGAAAATAAAGAAGGTGAAAATGACATTTTAGAAAGTTCAAAGGTAATGAGGTAAAATGGACATTTTAAAAAGCAGACGGTGGAAAATGTAAGGGATGAAAGGGGATGAAATGGGCATTTTAGAAAGTTCAAAGTTGATGGGATAAAGTGATATTTTATAGAGCTTAAGGATAGAAAGCGTCATTAAGTAGAAGGGTGAAAAATAAAAGGGATACAAAATTGTAGGGTTAACCAAAGTCAATGGAAAAGTCCACTCGCTTTGGTTATTAGAATATATAATAATAGTGATGGAGATTACTACCCATAACCATAACAATTCCGATTATATTACTATAAATACAGTGTTCTTTTGGGTTACATACAATAACAAAATAAAGCAAAATTGAAAATATATTTATATGAGAGACTTGTTTTGTTAATTAAATAATAGTTTAATTAATTAATTTTAAAATAATGGAATATATAATATTCAAAAATGATTTGAATTCCATAGATAATAATAATAATAATAGTAATATTATTATTATTATTATTATTATTTTTATTATTTTTATTATTTTTTTATTTTTTTATTTTTTTATTTTTAGGGTTTCAAATCACCTCCATCTATAAAGATGGCTCCAAATCCGCACTACAAAAAATGACATTTAGTGGCGTACATTTTTAATGGCATAATATGTTTGTGCCACTATATGATGTTTTTAGTGACATCTTATATGCCACTATTAAAAATTAATAAATTTAATGGCACTTAATATTTTATGCCACTAATACTCATTTTTAATTGTGGCATAATGATATAAAATGCCACAAAATTATTTTGCTTTTGAATCATACAATTTATTATATGCCACTAAATGTTTTCTTCTGAATTAACAAGCTAGTAACCGTTTATACGCCATTATAAACTTTATCGGATTAATTTTCGTTCCTCCTCATTTCCGTATTTACGTTCCCAAAATTTTAAAGAGGGGAAAAAGCCAAAAACATGTTCCCTCACTGGAAATTTTTGAAGATAAATTTTTTTTTAAATAGGGAAATCGACAATCTCTCGTCTCAATTCGTCTCTCGTCCGCCCTATCCCCTCGTCGGCCATGCTCCTCGTCGGCGCTGCAGACGCTCTCGTCTTCCCTGAAGTCAAGGTACAAATCCATAATTTCAATTTTAAGAATGGCGGTTATAAAAAACCAATTTTGCTTGTAGTAGGTTTTCTTGTATTTTCGATCAATTTTGTTTGTAGGGGTCTTTTTGTATTTTCGGTCAATTTTGCTTACATGTCACTTGGAATTTGATTATCTATCTGTTTGTTAGCTTTCAATTAACCAAAATTGTTGATACTATACAAATTAACATGTCGTTTAAGTTTAGGAGTTTGACGTGAATGCTAGAATTCTTTCTCTATTGTTAATTCTATATTAAGAAAATGGAATCTAAACCTAAAATTTATTATCAAAATGAATATCAAATCAAAATAATTCAACAAGAGGCACATATATTAACCTGTTACCTAAATTTTGTTATCAAAATTACCTCATTTTTATTATCAAAATGAGAACCGATTGAAAATTAGGTCAACAATTATAAAGCACAGACATGGATTAACCAGTTAAGTAAACTTATTGTGAATGGCACTTCTAAGAACCGATCAAGGAAACTAATGACACTTTTAGAGTATAGATAATTAAACTCAAAATCAATACTTTACACACTTAACAAACAAAAATGATACATTAACTTCAGTAAACCAACCCAACATTATAATTTAGAATAAGAAGTATAACACCAAGAACAAAAGATCTAAAATGAAGCAATAACAAACTTAATCATCATACCTATGAAACAATAATTTTTTTTCTTAAATAGACGAACTGTAGTTTCTTTTAAAAGAGAACAACTAGGGTTTTTGAAGAAAGATTAGATGACATTCTTCTTGACAAAGCACTCTTTAGTAAGGACCCAAAATGCTCTTTCTCTTTTGCTAACTAAGTAACTGTTTAACTCTTTCTATTATAAATGACATTTTTTAATTTGTTTTATAAACTAGATGAGGCTGCTATGGAGAGAGTATTCTTGAAGTCTCTTGATAACTACATCAATTGGTGGTTGTTGTGCACTTACCTAAACGCCCCAATAATATGGAGCGAGTATGACATTTCTACCCCTACATCTTTTTAGGATTAGCTAGAGCACAAACCCCTTAGCCTTTTTCTTTTTCTTTTGCAGTTCAGGTACCAATAAAGAAAAAATATTCTTTTTATCTCTTTATACTTTTTGATATGGGGTGAACCTACCAATGTTCGATTCTCTATGGAATTTGTATGCTATATATTTCATCTTGTAAGATATGTTCTTTGATATGTAGGTGTATAAAAAGCCATTCTTTGATAGAAGGTTTAACTCAAAGTTTAATAAACAAATTGGAGACGAATTATGTGGCTTAATAAGCAAGCAACTTGTAAAGCCAACCACTAGTAGTATTATTGAAAATGGTGTTTCATTTCTTGAACAAGTCATATGTCTTATTTATGATGTTATTGATGCAGTATGTCTTGTACATGTATTTAAAACTTTATCACTTTTTCCATTCAAGAATTTTGTTTTGTATGTGAAAAGTCTTGATTTTTTTCAGGAAGCTGAGAACGATGAAAATGGGAAAGCACCTCATTCTGCATGGAGAAATTATGTTGATTTCAATGAGTACTTCTGGTAAGCTTTGTTATAGGAAATAACAACATACTTTCCTCTTTTTACCAATATTGATGATGCACTTACATTTTTTACCATAATAGAAACATCCTTTCATATATTTATTACCAATTTTCTCTGCTAAATACCTTTTTAATGATGCTTTATTCTTTATCTTGTTTCACACCATCTATGTTTTTTAAGGTCCCAACTTCACCTGAAACTTGGTTGCCTATTTGACACAAATTCATTTATCCTATTGAAACCATCACGACAATCAAACATATTCATCTTATAATCTTTTTCTGGGTAGTCAACACATTGACTTTTCTATATAGCTTTCTTTGACAACCTTTGACTTGTAGCTTTATATTCTTTTTTATAATCCTATACTTTATTACAATAATATGACTTTCTAAAGTTTTTTTGAAGGAACCTTATTATGTTGGACGTGGCATGTATGAAGCAACAACTGATTATATATTGTAATGACTTTTCTACCCTTTACTTTTTTCTAACTCTTTTTCCTTTTAACTTTACTAAAGGTATTTTGGTAATGTTGGATATGCAGGTATATGCTTTTTTTGCTTGTTGTATTGGGGGTAAAATCTCATTTGTCTATTTTCTCCAGGTAAGTAACATGTTTTAGGGGCTATTTCTTCTTGAATTAATTGGTTAAGCACATAGTTATACATGGTTGTTTCTTTTTTTATTTAATTTTTACAATAATGATTTAATGGATTAATGTATTAAGACACAAACCATTTACCAAATTTTGCCCTACTTTTTTCCTCCCAACTCCTATCATGTTACAATTTGATGGATATTGTGAAAAATGTATTCTTGAATGTAAGGGTAAACATGCTATTTAGTCTCATACATCAGTCTAGAAAAAAATCCTAGAAAAAAACATACCTTACCTTATGTATACAACAATTTTTACCCATTCAACCACTTTATACATGACTTAATGGGAAAAAGGAACAACACCATAGTCTTTTTTCATGTGTTTATTTATCAAAATTCAATATCACTAATCTTTTGATTTTCTTATTTATGTAGAGAAAGTGTTAGTAACACCAAAAAGACAGATAATTCCTTGACTATTGCTAGCTTGTGGTCCCATGTGTTTTGTGTAAGTTAATCATTTTGTTTTCGTTCTGCTTTCTTTTGTACTTTCTTTCTCTTCATGCTAATGTATATGTTGGAATTGCATATCTATCTTCTAGAAATCCACATATTTTACACGAATTATATATGTTGTTGTTAGTTTGTTACTTGGAGCTAGAGTTCCTATTGGTGAGGTAAATTTACATTTTTGTCCTTGTGTACTCACATAATGTGTGAACCTCGGTGGATTGACATGCATACTTATTAAAAAACTAATTCACAATCTATATGTGTCATACTTCCACAAAACTAATTCATATTTTCTTAATGCTTATATGTTAGGTCTTTGAGTTTTGGCCACAAAACTTTGAGAGGTTCCTTGAAGCATTCATGGACAATCTCCAGATTCCTCTTTCAAATATGTGTTCTTAATCTATTTCAGTAACAAATTTATTGAATTCCATATTCTGTTATATTAAATGTTTAATTATATTTTGCAGGAATTCCCTTAAGCTAACTAATCAGGTTCTTATAAAATATAAGTTTGATGCTGCCATATTTTCATTGTAAAGAATCTAAGAGAAGAAGATTATATTACTATTTGTGAGATTTTGACTTATA